AATTAAAAAAATAAAATATAGTCAGCAGCACAGGTGACAACCTGGACTTGGGACTAGCATTGAAGTGGGGACAGTCTTGTGGGACCGAGCCATTAATCTTTGGGATTTGACACTAACTCCAGGACGTTAGTGTCAGAGTCTACTGCACTGTAGGACAGCCAGCTGGTGTCCCCTGGAGAAATGAATGGAGTTGTGGGAAGACCCCACACAATACCTGGTGTCAGAATTGAGGGTAGCAGTAGGGGAGAGGGAAGAGCGAGTCTTTCCTTCACTCCTGTCGTTGCGTCTCCGCAGCCAGAGTGGAGGCACCACTGGGGCAGCAGGTGTGTCTTACGCCTCTTGGTTGACAGCGTCCCGTGTATTAGTAGATACTCAGCAAATACTTATTTTGTATTCTTGTGCCAGTGACACTTGCTCAGGTTGCTCTGTGCCCTAGGATGTCCTTCCATGTCCCTTCCATCTCTTACCCCAATCCTAGCCGGCCACCAACATCCAAATCAAGTCCTACCTGCTCCTACCTTTCCCAAGCTATCCTGGCCCACTCTGAGCTATTTCTTGTCTAAATTCCTGAAACATTTTCAGACTATATAATCTATTGTGAACTTTATCACATTCGACCTTGAAATGTTACTTAATTGTTTCATGTGACTTAAGGCTTGTCTCCCAGCGAGACTGCAAGCATCTGGGGAAAAGGACTGGATTGTACCATTTTTGTACTCCCTTCCTTGGCCAGCTCAGGGCCTTAACATAGTACGTGCTCAATAAATATGACACGGCCAGTGAGGGTAGACACTGCCTTCTTCTATGGGCTTTTTTCCCTCTCTCTCTTTACTGAGGCCCGACCATTGCTTCGTAAATAAATGAAAAGAGTGTTTTGTAAAGAAATCAATTGTAGCAATGAATAATCAAAACAAGATTTTCACAAAGACTAAAACTTTTATTCCAATCAGGGTTTTTTTTCTTTCGGAAGACTGTTCTCCCGACCCCTCGTGAGGAAGACAGCTTCACTGATGCCCTGGGTGATATAATCTATGTTGTTGGCATTGATACAGGTGAAGTTAATCCGGCCATTCTTGGGGATGTAGATATGCTTCTTCTTGACCAGGTATTCCACCTGTTGGGCTGTGATCATCACAGGGTCTCGGGTCCTGGGACGGCCTCCTCTGATTCCCCTCCAGCCCGGGCAGGTTTATGAGGGACAGGGAGTGTCAGCATTTCGGGGGCTTCAGAAGGGTTTTTCTTTAAAGCAGCCCCTCTTTCCAGAGGAAGTAGTCAAAGCCTGCAGCTAAGCTAAGAGTTGATCCCTAGTCAGTGAAGTTTAACGCTCAAGTGCAGGTCAAGGGTCAGACACTTACGGTTGAGTCCAAGGTAGCCATGGGTGCCGCTGTGCTCGGTGATGTGATCCCAGGAGCCAGGGGTTCCCAGGAGCCGGAGCTTCTCCTTCACCTTCTCCTTGGTGAGCATGATGTTCTCGACAACTTCTTTTAGACTCTGCTTCCTACCAAAGAAGGACAGCAAGAAATGAGGGTGCGAGGTGCCCCTGCTCTCACGCCCCATTCATTGCCATTCCGCTCTCATCGCCTTTGGAGGCTCCCAGCAGCGTGCCTGCTGGCACCCCGTGGAAGCCAGGCCCTGGGATGGTTGCAAATGGGAGGGAGGTTTGATCCCTGTTAATGTAAGTGAGTCAAGCAGGCTCGCAGGCGGGTTGTACCGGAGTAGCAAGCCCCTACACTTGCTGGCCTCCTCCTGCAATCTGGAAGAGTTCAAATCACTCACTGGCCTGTGTCCAAAACCAACGTCCCATCACTCTTTCCCCCAAGGTAGGGCAACCCTTGGCATAGCCACTGCCATTGGGACACAGAAGGTCCTCGGTAAATGTGGATGAATGAGTCGATGACCGAATGGACCAGAGGCTACGTGGGCGGGTAGAGAAGCACCAAGCTGAACCCGTGAATCGGCAAGTTGGCGGGAGTCCAGGGACTCTGCCTCTCCCGTCCTGGCCCGGGCTTCGCCCTCACCATTCTCCCAGCAGAGCAGGGTTGCAGAGGATGGAGGTGATGATGCGGGCACCCGCGGTGGGAGGATTTAGCCACAGGGCCCGGGCGAAACTCATCAGCTGGGAGAGGACGCACAGCAGGTGCTGGTTGTTGAGTGCCACCACCACTAGGACGCCCACTCCTTCATCTGCAGCATTGGGGACACGGCCTCAGCCTCCTCCTCCATTACCAGGGCCTCCTTCACCTGGACCTCCAACCTTACAGGAGAGGAGGTTGAACTAGGGGCCTCACCCCATCCCAGCCGGGGCAGCCCCAGGAAGTTGCCAGAGGCTCTTCTTCCAGAAAACGTACCCATAAGTAAGAGTCTTAAAGGAGGAAGGAACTGGAAAGGTCACTAAGTCCTACTCGCTCCCTCTTTGTTTTTAGAGACAGGGTCTCACTATGTTCGACGTTGCCCAGGCTGGCCTTGAACTCCTGAAGGGATCCTCCTTCCTCAGCCTCCCAATTGCAGGTGCACGCCGCCGTGCCCAGCTCCCTCTCCCTTTATACTTGGGGAAACAGAGGCCCGAGGGGTGAAACGATTTAAGCAGAGTTGGTTTGGTGGCTGGTTTTGGTTACAGAGCCAACTCCTAGTTCGGTGCTCCTCCTCCTCCATCGTGCTCTCTCTGGGGCCCTCGGCTCCCTCCAGAGGGTAAGAGACAGCAAAAGCCTCATCTGTGCCTGGGCGCGGCACCGCCTCCCTTATCCATCCACCCACCATACCATAAATGCCAAAACTCCTGGACAGGGACTGGCTGCAGAAGAACTCAAAACCTCCGGACACGAAGTAGCGCAAGATTCTAGCGTCTTCTTCCAAGTCGCCGTTGTGTAAACCTTGACAGGGAATGTCAAAAAATGGGAATATCCGCTTGCTCTGGGGGAGGAAGTAGAACGAAAAAGGTCTGAGGCCGACCGGGGAGAGAGCTGATGGGAGAGGCAGCAAATCAGGCAGGAGCTGGGCGCACCTTCAGGGTGGACATGAACTTTGCCCACTGACTTTGCGTCAACCTGCAGTCGACGATGTTCCCAATCACAAGGACGCAGCCGCGTGGGATCTCCTGCAGGTAGACACTGTCTCATCAGGGACCTCCCCCGCCACGTGGTAGGGGCACCAGGGGATTTGGGGGAGAAGTGCTTCTCCATGTTGGTTCCTACTTTATAAAGGGAAACCCAAGCCCAGCAAAGGCCTCAGATGACTAGGGAGGTGCCGGGGAGGAAAGGAAAACAAAACTGAGACAACCTGAGCGGGGCCCTCTACCTTCGCCACACTGAAGAGTATGTTGGGGTCCATGCGCAGCTTCTTGGGGTCCCAGATGGAGCATTCATGAACCGTAAAGCCCATGTCCTGGAAGATGCGTCCGTGCGGCTCTGTAGGGACACGGCCCCCAGCAGCTGGCACGCGGGAAGGGGACAGAGGAGAGACGGAGACAGAGATACTGGGGGGGGGAGGTGAGAGCCACTGGCCTGGGTGGGACAATAACAGGAAAAGGACAGCAGAGCTTGGCTCGTCTGCCATTCCTCTCACGGCAGAGGCTGGGGGACAGCAGGGAAGACGGCACGTGGCGTGGGAATTAGGAACAGGGGCCGGGACCTTCCGCTGCCCTCGTCTCGTGCGACACGCACCTTGCTGAGAAGAGATGACGTAAACCACATTAGCATCCCTGCGCCAAGTCCTGAGGAACCGAGCCCCAAGCTGGAAGGCGCCACTGTCACCAACAGTGTGCACACCCCCTACCTGCCAGCGAAAGATAGACAGAATAGTGACACCGTAGAAGAGTAATGGTTGTACCCCACCTTTCATTCGGATCATTCTTTTCTTGAAGGAGCTTTTAAATCAGTCGTGTGAGCTACCGGTGCAAACGGCACTGGCTTTGGGTTCTGGTCCTCGTTCTGCCCTGCAAGGGCTAAAGCCGTGGACTCTCTGGGCCTCAGGTGTCCCTTCTGTCAATGCCAGGGGGCCCTCCGAGGTCCCTTAAGGCTGTGCAGACTCAGACCTCCACTCCCTGTGTTGGGGCGACAGGGGAGGCCCTTCCCTCACCCTGTTCTCCATAATGGCTTGGCTGTGCTTTCCAAAGAGCAGTTCCAAAGAGGCCTGGATGAACGACTTCATGCCCATCGTGGGCAGGTACTCGTAGTTCAAGGAGGGATCCTGTGAGATCTGCAGCCGGGTCTTCTGCACCACGACGGAAACCCAGGGGCGGCCTTCCTTGGTCATGCACGCTGTGAGGGAAGCCACAGGAGCAGCTCCGGACACCAGGACTCGGGGGGCCCCGACTGGGCTCCGCAGACAGCCCACAAACAATAAGTCTGTCCTGGGTTTCTTGGGGCTTTAGGAAAGTTGCCTATGAAAAGATAACTTTCCTTTCCTTTTTTTTCCTTTATAAAAACAATGTGCTGTTAGTGAACGCATATAATTTTTGTCTTTTTTTTAAAAGATAATGGAAACCTATGCCGTTTTATGGGTTAAAAACGATATACAAAATGTGGGTTTATAGAAAGATGAAGCTAAGTGAAGGTAACCCCGGCGTCCACAGTGACGAGGCTGGCTGCGTATCGGCAGGGCCAGTGTGGGGAACTATCTGGGTTCAGGAACAAGGAGCGAGAGAGAAGGGAAGAGGCTGAAGAAAGTGGGGTGCCCGTGCAGGCCCCCAAGCACAGAACTGTAGAAGAGGACAAAGCTCTTACCAAATCCCTGAAAGCTCCAGAAAAGGGCAGAGGGCAGGGACTGACCTAGCACTGTCTCTGCTCTTTTCCCCACTGGGCAATTCTTTAACAAGAAAACATCTCTCCACCCGCAGAGGCCGGGGCTGCCCCAGTCCCCTCGCAGCAGCGGGATCCTGTCCTCCCCGGGCAGTTACCGTCACGTCTTCAGTCTTATCCCCCAGAGCTGCGAGGCATCTACCTCTATAGGCCAGGAACAACTTGTTAGGGCAATCGTCTTGTCTGTACGTCTTTAACAAGCTGCCTTCCAGCTTGTGGGCGAGGGGCACGTCCGTGAACACTGAAAGCGTGGGCATAACTGAGCTCAAAGCAGAGCTAAGACGATGTCCCCCCCGCTTTTGTTCGTCCCTGCTTCTGCCTGGACGTCCTCCTCCAAGCCTGGGCCACACAGTCCTGCCTCTTCCCAGGACCTCGGCAGCTCCAGTGCAGAGACGCTGGACGACTGGTTGCCACAGCAACGGAACCTCACAATTCCCAGTCTTTGTGGTGGCCACCCTCAAGGGGGACATTCCGTGGTACTTGAGGACAATCCCCTGAGAGAGTGGGCAGAATGAGGGGGCGGGGACGGGGAGGACATGGAGTTCCCAGGCATGTCCCCTGTTTCTCCAGCCCCAAGTGGCTCAATCCCAAATAACCAGCCAGCCGCTTGGAAGACAGGGCTAGCCAGGCAGCCATGGCCAGGTGGGCTTCCCCTGCAGAAGTGACATCCCCAGATCACACGGCAACGCAGGTCGAGGGATAAATTTTCATTTTGCAAAGTGCCCTAGATTTAAAAAGGAATAGAAAGAAAGCACCGTTTTCTTCCATGGTTATTTTAGTAAAGAGTTCTATGATTAAAAGCAGAATAATTTGCAACTCAGGAAGCCCGTCCTCTTTCCTCGGTTAGTTAGAGCCAAGACATCTATGTTTGTTAATAGTTTCTTTCTTTCTTTCTTTTTTTTTTTTTTTTTGAGACAGAATCTGTCTTCATCACCTGGGCTAGAATGTCAGAGTGCTGTGGCATCAGCCTAGCTCACAGCAACCTCCGACTCCTGGGCTCAGGAGTGATCCTCCTGCCTCAGCCTCCTGAGTAGCTGGGACTACAGGCGCGTGCCACCACGCCCAGCTAATTTTTCTCTATTTTCAGTCACCAGACTAATTTTTTCTATTTTTTTTTTTTTTTTAGTTGCCTGGCTAATTTGTTCTATTTTTAGTAGAGACAGGGTCTTGCACTTGCTCAGGCTGGTCTCAAGCTCCTGGGCTCAAGTGATCCTCCCGCCGCGGCCTCCCAGAGTGCTAGGATTATAAACATGAGCCACCACGCCCGGCCTGTTAACAGTTTCAATGATGGCCAACTAGTGAATACAGACAGCAGAGGCCAAGAGCGAAAGAGTCAGCCTCTACAAAACCAGACTTGCATTTTGCTTTCTTTTTCTTTTTCATTTTTAATAACTCTTCAGGCCAGGTGCGATGGCTCACACCTGTAATCCTAATATTTTGGGAGACCGAGGTGGGAGGATTGCTTGAAGCCAGGAGTTCAAGACCAGCCCGAGCAAGAGCAAGACCTTGTCTCTACAGAAAAATGGAAAAATTAGCCAAACATGGTGACACACATTACTCAGGAGGCTGAAGCAGGAGGATTGCTTGAGCCTAGCAGTTTGAGGCTGCAGTGAGCTATGATGAGGCCACTGTACTCCAGCCTGGGTGACAAAGCAAGACCCTGTCTCAAAAAAAGAAAAAAATGGATATCCACATAACGGAATTCTCTGCAGCCTTTGAAGGCAGCCTTATGAGTGCAGATGTGGAAAAATCTCTAACGGAGGTGCAGAATACAGAACAGAGTGAGGAACAGTTGGGGGGAAGGAAAAGATACACGTACCGTGTGTACGCTTGAATGTGCACAGAGATTCTCCCGAGGGACACTCGAGAAGCTGGTAACCACGATCACCTCTGGAGAGTGAAACTGGGTCGCCGGCAGACGGGGACGAGGGGGAAGGCTGACTCGCTTTTCACCGTGTCCCACCTTGTACCTTATGAATGCTAAACCACGCGCACAGACTTCCCGTTGAAAAAAGGTGTTTATATTTTAAAAAATTAGCTGTAGCCTTTCCAGACATGACATCCTTACCACCCAGAGGAAGAGAGAGTCTCTTCTGTGAGCTGTCTGGGAGAACGAGGAAGGGTCCTTTTCCTTGCCCGAAGCCCCCTCTGTCCTCTCTCTGTGGCCTCACTTGGTCACTGGCCTGCCCCCGATCTCCTCGTGGCTGAGAATGGGATTCTCCTGTCTGTCTCAACCAGCGACATAGGGCTGAGGGTGGCGTCACTCCCTTCCGCACTGCACGGTGGCCGAGGATTCCCCCAGAGAGACTCCGGGGCTCGTAGGAAGGGGAGTGGGTGGAAGTGACGCTGGGGAGGCAGGTGGCAGGCGTCCACCGCATTGCTCGTTCCAAATCCTTACAAACCACCACTTCTAACGGCTACTGTTTCGCTTGTTGTCCCTGCGCTTCCAAACCTGCAAACACTGCAGGGTCCCCACTGCCGTCTCAGCAGCAGTGCGGAGCGGGGAAGGGTTTTCTCTGGAGTGCTCCAGGCTACGCGGAGTGCCCAAGGGTGGACAGTGGGAGCGGGGCGAGGAGAAGAGGTATAAAGGAGGAGGGGGGTCGGCTTCTGCCGGAGGCTCTGCCTGGGAGCTGGCCAGCCAATAGTGGGGGTGACATGTGTGTGGCCCCACACTCCCATCTCTCAGCAGCCTGGAGAACAAACGTGGTTGTATTAACTAGAACAATCTGTCCTTTCCTACGTAGCACAGGACTGCTAGCCTCTCTGAGTCTTCCGCAACCCTGTCTGGGCATTCCTGGGGGGTGTTCTTGTGTGACCTTGGAAATAATACCCTCACATTCACCCAGTCCTATCCCGCTCATTGACATGGGCTTCTCAGGACGTCACTTGGCTTCCCTATTTCCCCACCACCACAGGCACTGGCCATCGCCATGACAACCACATGGCATCAGTGTAGATGCCAAGGGTACATTCTCCTGAAGCCCCTAGAAGCACAACCTCCTCGCTACCAGCAGCCAGTACATGCCTGTGCCCCACAGAGTCCTACCAGAGTCCCTTCAGCTCTTACCTGCCTCCCTTCCTGCCACCGCACTCAGACACAAGACCCCTTAACCAGAGCCTCTGCTGTAATGGACAGAGGAGGGTCTTTGGTGCTGGGCAGACCTGGCTTTCCATCTCAGCAACCCCCTCAGTACCTGTATGGCCTTAGGCAAGTCATTTAAAATCTCTCCACCTCAGTGTATGCATTTTTAATTGGAGATACAGACATTACAGAATTCTGTGAGATTTATGGAAACGGGCATGTCCCTCAGGCTGTTACAAAAAGAAAGAAATTACAAAATTGAGGTCCAGGCCAGGTGTGGTGGCCACATCTGTAATCCCAGCACTTTGAGAGGCCAAGGTGGGAGGATTGCTTGAAGCCAGGAGTTCAAGACCAGCATGGGCAACGTAGCAAGACCCTCTCTCTACAAAAAATAAGAAAAATTATCCAGGCATGGTGGCATGCGCCTGTAGCTACTTGGGAGGCTGAGGAAGGAGGACTGCTTGAGCCCAGGAGTTGGAGGTTGCAGTGGGCTATGATCAAGCCACTGCACTCCAGCCTGGGCAACAGAGCAAGACCCTATCTCTTAAAAAAAAAAAATTGAGGACCAATGTAAGTTTTGACTATAGAATTTGTAGTGTAGGAGACTTGGGAAGTCTCGCCTGAAATAAAACCGATGTTCAAACAAACCAGGTCTTTAAATTTTTTTCCCAGAAAATTGCAAACGCACAAACCATTCCCAGGTTCTAATAACCATACTCACAGAAGTTGGCGGCTAAAAGGAGATAGCCCCCTTAGGGTAATCTCCCCATAGCACCTCTCAGGCTCAGCCAAGGTGGGCAGAGGAGAAAGAAAATTCCCCCAGGGATGGGGGGAGAAAGGTACACTTATGAACTGATCCAAAGAGTCCAGTCCATTGCTAGGAACATGAATCAAAAAATGGTTGCCCTGTATGTCCCCGAACACACAGATGTGTTGTGTTGTGTGCTCTAACCTAGCGACAGCTGCGTGCTGCTTCTCTTCTCCGCTTTTCCAAATGGCGGCCTTCATAGCAGTCTCCCGCTCAGCACTGTACCCTGGGTGCATTCAGGAGCAGTTAAATCCGTTGTGAGTCCATGAGATGCAGTATCGCGAGTAGCCACTTTCAGATAAAGAGAAACGCACCTTATCCAGAGATCCTCAATTCTGAGCTGGATGTTGGAGGTGACTTTAGGTTGCTCCCTTTCGGAACGAGGGAGTGAGATTTTGGTTGCATGTGGAAAAATCGCATTATGTTAGGTGGGGCCATTCTTGGAATTACATGCATGGGGAAAAGAATATGAGGTTTTCCACCAAGTCTGCCTGGAAACCCTTTTCCTACTACTTCTAGTAACAACTCCTCCCCATTGCCAGCTGAGATTCCTGAACCCGAGTCACAGCATGTCTTAGTCCACACCTGCTGCTATAACAGAATACCTTAGACTGGGTAACTTAGAAACAACGGAAATGCATTGCTCAGAGTTTGGAGGCTAGGAAGTCCAAGACCCAGGCACCAGCACATTTGGAGTCCAGTGAGGGCGTGCCCTCTGCTTCGGAGATGGCTTCCTCTTGCTGTCTTCACACGGCAGAAAGGGCGAGGCAGCTCCTCCAGCCTCTTTCACAAGGACACTAACCCCACTCATGAAGACAGAGCCCCTGTGACTGAATCACTTTCTAAAAGGCCCCAACTCTCAGTGCCATCACATCAGGTATTAGCTTCCAACACATGAATTTTGGGGGAACACCCAACATTCAGACAATAGCATGGTGCTTGCTGGGAGAAGAGACGTGTGGCTCAAGCCTGGCTTTTTGGAATGCTTTTCTAGGGTTTTCTGGAGCTGGAGGAGGAAAAGTCCTTTTCATTACTCTCTAGTCATGGAGTTATAAGGAAATGATCCTAAAGCTTCCAGAAGCTACAGGTCCCTAACAGGTACAAGACCCCTCCCCAGAATGATGCCACTGTATTCGGAGAGAAGTTGGGAAGAAGAACTTTAGCAGGCTCAAGCCTGTAATTCCTGTCAGTTATCATTTGGATTCTTGGTTGCGAGCAGCAGAAACTGACCCTGGCTGATTCCGACCTAAGAGGAATTTACTGAAAGGATATCAAGCAGCTCACATGACTGATAGGGAGGCGGGAGTTTTTGGGGCAGAGTCTCACCGAGATCAAACCAGGAAGCCAGTCAGGATTTCACTGCTGAACACCAGAGGTCGCTGTGACTGGCTCCACCCTCAGCTTCCTCTGCCGCCCCGCTGCCACCGCAGGTCCCGGAGATAGGAGATGGGACATTGCTGCCAGG